TAACTGGATTTTCTTCTATATAATCTTCATAATTTTCAACAAAATATTTCATCATATATTCATAAAATGACTCAATATCAAGTTCATCTGCTGCAGTTAATAGTTCTAATACTTCAGCTCCAGAATAATTTTCAAATTCAAATTTACATGTATATAAAAATCTTAAAAAATAAATAAATTATAAAACATGCTATCATAATTAATATATATTCAATAATATAAATAAATAAAATAAATAAATTTATTTAAACATACTTGAGAATAGGTTTAAAACATTTTTCACTAATATTAGCTTTCTTAACAGTATAGTATCCATTTTCTTTTGTTGAATTACTTAATACATTACTAAAGAATGGACAATGAGTTGATATGATAGATGCATGTGCATGAACTTCTTTAATATTTGGTTCTGTGCCAACATATATTTTTACATCAAAAAAATCTTCAGTATTTAATAATCTTTCATTTTCATTAAAATATTTTTCAAATACCAAATTCATTTTTTCAAAAAAATATATAATAATAAAAATGAATGGGCCAATCAATCACATGTTACAATTAAATATCAGTATTACAAGCTAAATTAATACGTCATCCATGACATACTGATTTTTTATTTTTTATTTTCTGTGCTTTATTATATTCTTCTGGTTTTTTAAACAATGTTGCAATTGTTGAAACATCATCCTTTGAGTTTGATTATTATATCATTTTGATAATTAATAATATATTATTTGCCTGTATTATCAAAGGATTATTGATTATACTACCATCAAGTTTTGGATATTTTCATTAGTAAATAATCTGTATACTAAAACCAAAAATTGGGATTAATTAATATGTTATTCAAAACTTTAAAAAAAATATATAATAAATATTATCTATTATGATTAAATAAGAAATGAAATGTTCTCAGAATCACGAAAATATCATAGAAATATACCAAGTTACAAACTGCAGATTATAAATTATATAGTTCACGGGAAGAATTAGCAAGGAAGGGGGTGTTTAAACAAAACTTGGAACCAAAAGAAAAGAAAGATTTTAAAAGATAGTAATTAAAATCATGCGAAATATGCATTAAAAGGATTTCAAAAGGGTGCTGAAAGAAAAGAGAAGCAGACAAGAGAAAAGCAAAAAAGGATCAACTCTTACAATGAAGATCGAAAGAGCTGAATCAAGGAACGATGAAAATAATGAATCAATATAACAATAAAACAATAAGAAAATTAGCAAAGAAAGTTTTTGACTAAAGAAACAAGCACATAAAGGAATAACAACTAAATAATAATATAAGAACATTTATTTCAAAACTTAAGAGAAGAAGGTTTCGCCTTAAGTGAAAACTAGTTTTTATTTTTTAATTTTGACTTTCGACATATAATTTTAATTTTAGTTTTGACTATTGCCTTTTCAAAATAGTTTTGGTGGCCAACACTAATTGTATAAAACTTTGATCCATTCTTACATTAGGTGTTTCGTTTTATTTGTGGCAAGTTTTAACTCATCTGTTAAATCTTCCCGTCTATTTAAAGATGCTTGTGAAGAATTTTTCAACCAAAGTTTTTTTCAACAGAAATTTGAAAAATAAAAAAAATTTAATTTCTTCCCTCTCCTTCATCCTCAATGGTTACTAATGAATATTAAATCATCAAAGTATTGATATATTTGTTGTTCGTATATATGAGAATTATATAAATATGTATATTAAACTATAGCCAATACAGTATCTTATGAATATACTCTCATGTTATATATCCACAATAGATACAATAACCTTTTTCTCACTATTATTTAATTTCATCACGTCTATCCAACAAATGTCTAAATCCAAAATCATCTAAATATTGAAATATATAAATTACGAGTTAAGAAAGTAATGATTGATTGACCCTTCCTTTAATTTATCTTGACTTCAGTTGTCAAAATCTCCAACATCACTTTAAATAATTATTAAATAAATAAATGTATAAAATTATACATGCACGCATTTACCTGGAACTGTTTAATATTATCGTAACCGTTATATCATATCAGATGCTAATGCTGATGGTTTAAGGGATCTCTTATTCACTGGTTTTATTTAATAATATCAGTGGCTAATACTAATACTAAATTCGCGATTATTAATAAAATTAACCTAATTATTAATAATCATAATCATTATAAAATAATACCTATTTCATAATTTAACGTGTAAACAACTATTTTTTTTTCAGTAATAGTAATAATTTAAGTATAATATTTACGAGGGATGTTCTTCAATATGATTAATTAGACGTTATTTTCTACCGATAGGTTTGCAGCCGAATACATGCGGTAATAAATGCAATTCTTGGTATTAGTAGGATTTATTCAATGTATTATTTATTCCAAGTAATGTGATAAGAGAAGTTCTAGGGTTTCTTTCCACAATATTTCTACCGTTCGAATTTGATGCGATTTCAGGTCTTTCCCTCTCCAATATTATAATTTCTTTTCTGTTATTTTCGTCTTTTTTATTATGGTAACCATTATAAGATGATATCTGTGTGTGCGTTATTTTAAGCAACTTGTTGTTATACTTGAAGTAAATTACCACATGATCACATCCATCCCATTGTGAATCAGATATTCATTTACTATGACTTGTTATAATCAAAAGTTTTCCAAGAGTCCATATTAAGATACGAGACCTCCGACCTTGTATATTTAGTTACAAGGAACCTAGCTTTGAAAGTAAACATTCTTAATTCCTATTGTATATTCTGGAAGATAATATAATATGTTATGTTGAGAAAAGGACTATATTTCACTCTTCCTATTACTATCTGTAATGGGTCTTCTTTCTATAACAAACACTTGACGGTGAATAAGGCACAAAAAAATACAATATATGATAGAAAATTAGTTATAGTGAGGGTAAACTGAAAAATTAATCAATATGGAAAAGATTCTTCGACGCGCTATTTCAAACCGAGATGTTACACTAATTGAAAAAAAATTTTTTTTTTCAATTAATATTAATCAATCTTTTCATTGACGAAATGAGTAAGTTTTATTTACCATATAAATACTTCTATTTTTTACAATAATGATGATAATTTTCATAGTTTTTCGTAATATGAATAATAATGATGTTAACCAAAAGAAAACATGCACTACCATCTGAAATAAATATATATATATTATTATTATTTTTATCTTGAAGGAAAATAATAACACTAATTTATTAAATTTCATTTTGTCCGTTCATCCATTCATTCATCCTGATTAATCAATAGCTAACGATAAAAAATGGCTGAAGTATATATATGTTTCAGAAATTGTCAACCTAGGTGAGAATATAATTTATTCATTAATTAAGTCTTTTAATTATTAGTGATGATATCATATAACCAGTTCTGCTTCTGATAATATTGTATGAATGATAACAATCATATCCTTCTCTGAATAATAATTAATAACACTTTTTAATGGTAATTGTTTTGCAATGTAAATTACTAATTAATTGATTGATTTTATTTCCATTTATTCTTCTTTGTTTATTTAGCAAATTTTCATGGATAAGGCTGCCTTATCGAGCGAGTCTTACAAAAAATCTAAATCTTCATTGATCCAGGAGGATACTAAAATTCTTTGTAATTCAACTTATAAATAATTAAATCGAAAATTTTTTTTTAATTTATTAATATCTCATTGAATGAAAGAAACGAAGATCTTAAAGTGCTTATATGATAATTATTAAATATCATATTAAAGAGTCACAATGTTCATCTTATTGAGACCTTGCAATAAGATTAGGGAGTAAAAATGATACGGTATAGTTGGTTGTTGTTATACTCTTGGACGAGTAAAATGTCAAGGTAATTAATTGTTTTATAAAATATTATAATAATAATATATATTATTGCTATTGAATTAAAATGATGTTATATTATCAAAGTAATCCGTGTTTCAAATGATATTATTATTTGATTATAAATTTGATTCTGACCAAGTTGAAAATTAAAATATATTTGATAGATTTTTAATCAATTAATTAACTTTCCAATATTTTTTATTTTTATTGATCCACAGGAGACTCTCGAATCGATTCAGGCGAAGAATTACATCTGATTTTATAAATTCACGAGTTTAAATGTGTTTTTATTTTGGTGACGGAAACAAATCTCTTTCTACGATGTAATGACTAATTTTAATTGCGCATACACACGGACCATACGAATGTCTCAATACGCAGGAAAAGTGGTTGGATGTAAGTAAAAAAATTTTATAATATATATATTATATAAATGATGACAAATACAAGTTAAATCCATTCTATGATTATAGAATAATATCGTCATTTTTGATTGGAAGGAATGTTTCTTTTCGGTCAATTAAATAAATCTTTTGATTTTTTTTGATAAGGGTTCTCTTTATCAAAAAATAATTGGAATTTGTATTTATGACAATGTTTCCTATTAAAAAGATCTAAAAAAAATTAACTTTTCTGACACAAATTTTTTCCTTTGAATAAATTAATTATATTATTAATTATATATATATATATGTATTTAACATATTTTTATTTATTTTGTTATTATTATTAGGTGTAAAGATGGCATTCGAATTTGACAAATTAAATTAATATTTTCTATAATAAAAAAAAATATTGATTGGAATATTAATAATTATTCTCTCGCTCTCCCTCACTTTACAGTTTCTTCAATATTTCTAGTTATTATGTCTAATTGACAAGTTTGTTCAAATGTTGTAAGATGTTCTAAAAATATTCGTGAAGAAGATATGAATGTATGACTTATATTTATACATTATAATCTAATGTGCGTATAATTTACTTACTTGTAACTTGTCTTTTATTTGGTTCTTGTAATTCTCCAGCTACAATTGTAATAATTGTTATAATTATTATTAAATTATAATTACTATTAATTAACGAAAAAAACAATTTTTCTATAATAAAAAACATACCAATAAATAATTCATCTAATGCATAATATGCCTTTAATTATTATTATTTTTTTTTTTGTAGTTTTGTAGGAAAGAAATTTTAAATTAAATTTTTTAAACAAATATATATTCCTTGTCAAGCAAATAAAAAAAAACTTACTTTATCAAAATTGAAAATTATATCCATTTCACAAACATTGCCAAAGAATTCATCAAGTATTTGTACATATCTATGGATCACTTCCAAGATATATAATTCATTCTCTTCCCAATCTATTCCAGCTGCAAAATATAAACTCGCATATCTAACATAATAAATAAATTTATATATATAATAAGATTTACTAATTATTTAATAAATCTTTTCACTAAATAATTATTTCACTACTTGTTGTTACCTTTTGTAAATGACTTTATGTTCGCCATACTCTATAACATTGCACATTGATCTCTTCCTGGCCAATATTAAAGTTGTCAAATCATTTGTCAGGCTGATCTTCTCTTTCTCTGAAAAATATTGAAACCATTTCTTCAATCTCATTTTACCATGTCTACTAAAAATAAATAAATAAAAAATCTATACATAATAATTTATATGCATAATATGATTTATTATTTATTCTCATATAATTTGCATACATTGTATATAAAAATACATTAATATTATATTTACCATTATGTGAAATTTTTCTTTCAACAATTTATTTTAAAAAAGAAAATTTGAACTCGTGTCACACGTTTTAATCAATCATTCAAATCACGAGCATGTTGCAAAATTGGAAATGAACAAATTAAAATTTTGCAAAGGTAGCTTGTTTTCTCATTTTATAATCAACCCCCGCTTTGTTACAAAAAAATTAAAAATTTCGTATATGAATGAATAAAATATCGTCAATCCCAATTAACTTAATCATAATAATAACCCTAATACTAAAGACGCTTAATAAATGAGGAAAAAGAGAACTCAAAAAAGACGATCAGCCACAAAAAGAGGAAAAACTATGACAAATACTGATGACGTCTTGAAGTAACTCTACAAAGGAAATAACTACTACTATAGAAAATGATTGATAGGAGCGTTTGGATTTAAAGAGATCAATTATTTTAAAAGAACAGCGTACATATGTATATATAAGTAATTGATTGTCCTTGGGAAAAATCACAGGATCCAATTCAAATTTATAGGACCATAAAGATCAATTGGTCCTGGCTAAAAATTATCCTTTTTTCTTTGAATGATAAATACAAATGTGTTTATTCAAAGAAAATGTTTTTGCCTGAAGAACTTTATGGATAGACGAATTTTATGATAATTATGACGTAGAAAACAAACCACAAATATTACACAGCAATGCTTACTCCAAGAACAAATCATACACAAGTACTTGTTTGTTTTCAAAAAGAAGGCTTTTCTTAATTTACTTTGTTTTTTTCTTGAGGAACTTTATACTACTAAATTTGCCTACAAAAAAAATGTCGTGTGAATATGAACGATTCTCTTTGCTGATTGTTGATATTCTTTTTTAAATTTGTAAATTTGTGTGATAAATAAAATATTAATATCAATATTTGCATTATAAACTTAAATATTTATTATTATCTTGTAATATAAAATAATTTCAATTAATATACAAGAAATTCTGATAATATGCAAAGTTTTGTACAATGGTAACAATAGTAGAGATTTGAAGTTTTGCTTCCTGTGTATTAGGAATGTTTTGGGTTCGCTTTTTGATTTCCTCAAAATCGTATTCCAATTTAGATACTTTAGCTTTAAGCTGAGTATTCTCTTTCCATAGCATGTTCCAATTCCGCAATTCTAGCCTCAAGCTCTTCTTTTTCTTTTGCAGTCTGCTCAATTCTTTGACTCTAGTCATAAGCCTGGCATTCTCTTGCCTCAATAAATCTGATTCGGATGAGTCTTTAGACTTGCCTCTTTGAGTCTCTATGTTGATAATATTTTTTTATATTTTTTTATATAAGATGCATATTTATTCAAATTTCGAATTAATGCATTTTCTACAAAAGATAAAAGTCATGTGTGCATAAAGAATCTTTATGCTGACCACTTTGGCAAGAAAAAAAATTGAATGCGTCCTCAATACTTTGATATAATACATCATTATACATAAGATATTGATATTAATATGTCTGGCAAATCTAGAAATAACAGACGAAAAACTCAGGGTAGATTCACTACAAATCCTACACAATATTTACAATTTCAAAACCGGGATAAATATGATCACATTATTCATGAAGGTCATATAACTATCATAAATAAGAAGGCACAAGATGTAAAGGAGGTATTTGATTATGTAGAGGCATGTAGATATCTAGAGGTAAATAGTCTCAATTCAAATATTCTCAGCAGAACTGACAAGGGTAATATGCATTGCAAATAATTTGGTTTGTTTTTTTTAATATATGGAGTATAGATCATATTTTTTATAGCTATATAGTATAATATAAAAAATAAATATAAAATCAAACCTATGGTGAAGAAACCGTTGAACTGTTCTCACTATTTCCACTTGCGGCCTTCTTGGAGTTAAATAATAGGGATAGGTTAACGATCATAGTATTCTGTATGATACAAGTAAACTTAGATAGGTTATAAAACAAAACAGTATAGATTTTTTAGTGAATATACCTATAATAATAACAATACTTCCACAAACTCAACCAGCTTTTCAGTTTTCACAGTATGTTGTATTGGAATTTCAACTGAGCATAAGCAGTATAAACGATGAAATTCATCTTCACCTCGAATAAGAATAAATAAATGAAGCATCTTTCCAGCAAATTGGATTCCAACAATGCCAAAATCGCCTTCATCTATTATACAACCCTTATGAGTCCAATACATTCCATCATTTAATTTCCGCTACAACTTCACCCAATCACTTATTTCTTTATCATCATTACAGACCAGACGCGAGCATTCGGAATACAAGAGTTCAAATATTTTTCTTTTATGTTTTACCAAAAACATCACATCTGGTTGCTTTCCCCTCTTTCCCTTCCGATCTTTATTAGCAATACTTTTCTGCACTGTGTAGATATTAAACATGCAAGTAAGAATACGTTTTTCTTAAAAAAATTGAGAATAATTATACTCACGTGCTGACAAAAACAGATTTCCCAAATGGAAGGCCTTTCAATGTGACCCAAATAACAGGGACTATGATATCAGTTACATACGTCCCCTTGCTTTGCGAACTGGCAAATTTCTTGGATTGTCCCAGACTTCTTCCCTATAAAATGAAAATAGTTATACATGTAGTTTTTGACCCACAAGAAATCATATGAGCTTAGCAAACATTTACAATGTGTTTAAAATCCTCTTCGTAACTCCATGGAGTGTATCAACTCTTTCCTTCCAACTCATATCATGTGTAAGTTTGAATAGTGAAACCTTGGCACTATCATAGTTGTAGTTTTCCACGAGATTAATACACATCTTTTTTATGGACACCTCCATATGCCTCGCAGGTTCCTAATAATACATTTTGACTTGATTAATATTCTTCAGCACAGATGGTGACTAACACCAAAGTACACAGCTTCCAAGCAGATCCCCCATGAAAGGTCAGAAGCTTCAATATCATCTAATTTTCTTTGTAAATTGGGTGCATAATAAGACTTACTACTCTGAAAAAAAAGATGTATAAAAATAAATTTCAATTGAGTTTTTGATTCAAAGAGTTGATGATTATTTCTAAACTTACAATGAGCTTTGTCTTCAAAGTTTGCATATTCTCTTTTATCTTGTCTTCAGTAATATTGTCTTTCTGTTGTAGAAAAGTCAGTACACATATAATATTGGGGTGTGAGATACCCTAATTAAATCAAAATTAGGTGATGTAACATAATGCCAATCAATAACAAACTTTTCTTTTTAAAATCAAAATATATATAAAAAACTATAAAAAACTATAAAAATAAAAATTGTATCAGGCAGGGCCTTCAAATAAAGAGATACAAACATGAAACTAAGGGAAATTATAGTAAATCAATCAAACTTTTAGTCTATAGAGAGTTTTTTTCTTGCCAAATAAAAAAAAATTTTTTTATATATTGTAAAGAAATTGAAAAAAGTTTGCTAATAGAAAACTTTATAACCAAATGAGATATGTCTAGCAATAAAACCATAAAAAATTTTGTATAATTTTATTATGAAAAAAAAAGTTATCATGGTTTAAAGTTATTTGATTTATTATTAAATTTTACCATAAAAATTTCCATTATGGTGCGAATCATCTAAAGGCATCACGTGCTGCGCCACTTGCCGAAAATTTTTATGCTGATCTTGCTTTATAAAGAATCCAATATATAAAAATAAAT